TGTGTGTGTGTGTTATAGATTTTCCCCACAACAGCCCCAATTCCACCCGGATGAATAGATTCAGAATCAAAGCAGTCTTTGTCCTGTTGCAGACAATGAGAACATTTGAGATGAGGCAGTCACAGTCCAGCATATTAAAGCAATTTTATAATTAGACAGTGTTTTGGTTATCCTTGGGGTACCCCTTCGATTGTTCTTGCAACTCCCCTTTTATTGTGCCTCTTACGTACAAGGCTGCCCATGTTGCTTGTGGTTGAGCAGCAGCTGCGTATGTGTGTGTGTGTGTGTGTGTGCATGTGTGCGTGTGCGTGCGYGTGTGCATGTGCGTGTGTGTGTGTGTTTGTGTGTGTGTGTGTAAGTGTGTGTGTGTGTGTRTGTGTGTGTATGTGTGTGTGTGTGTGTGTTTTGAATATTCACCACAACAGCCCCTATTCCACCCAGATGAAGAGATCCAAAGTCAAAGCATATTTAATCCTATTACAGACACTGAAAGCCCTTGAGTTCAGACAACCCAACAATGAAACAGTAATTGTGGTTGAGCGTGAGCTGCCCACATCCCCGTGTGCCATAATGGCCCACTTTCACACTATGAAAGGAGGGAAAGCAAAGGCAGATGCAGAATAACAATGCAAACCACTTTTGCCTCAGAGTCATGTCAGAATTCCTAACCAAACTTGAGTTAAAAGTCAAAAACTATAAAAAAACTTAAAAAAAGACTTGAAAAAATAATGAATTGGGTATTAGTAAGATAGACCATGTCCGGACCCCACCAAAAAGCAAAAACGGGCCTGAAAAACCCCCAAAACAATTTTGGGGGCTTGGCTCCTCAGTGGGGAAGGGTCCTGGACTGTTTTTTGTTTTTTGTTTTTTTCCCCTTGAAATTTGGCAGTGAAATCAACCTTGTCTCAATCTCGCTTGCAACTTGCATATGGCCTCTGGCCAGGAACTCAGCTTAAGTCAACTGTTACAACTTGCGGCTATGGCCGCTGCATCCCATCTGAGTTCCCAACCAAACACTGTCTCCACCATCAACCTCACTCTCACTCACACATACACACAAGAGGATCTACCCTAAGTGTCCATGCGTCAGACACACACACACTGCACTCTCTCTCGCCATCAGCAGCTGGGGCCTATGGCCGCCGTCGTCCTCCTCCTGTCAGCTATGGCCGCTGTCATCTTCCTCTGCCCACTTCAGCTTCGGGCACCTGGAGACCTCCGGTGCACAAGTCGCTGTAGCAGCACTTCCGCATGCGTGGCTCTCAGGCGAATGAATGAATGGCTGAGCGCTGCCACTTTATTTATACTGTTTCGTAGGTGGACTGGTCTACCCCTGGCCCTGGGCCCAAACAGTGTGGGCCTGTGGGGCCCAAACCGTGTGGGGCTTTCACCTGGTACTTGCTGACTAGACGCGGTGGACTGACCTACAACTTTCTAGAACCAACAGCTGACCCTTTTACTAACAGTTAGGACTAATCTACGGACTGACCCTTAAACTACCGAAAAGCCAGATAGAGGCTTCCAGAAGGACCCAAACTAAGCCTAACAATAACACACTTAACTGCTAACACGAAGGTCTACCGTTCAAGACCTAGCGACTGACGAACACACTTTTTCACTAAACTAGGATCTAGGGACACGGCGTGAGTTCAAATCTCACCTAGGGCTACAGGTCAATGTACAGGGTTATGGGGTAGGTCTAGGGATCTAGTCCTGGTGTCTGCAACTGTCGGGTAAACTGGGTGAAACCCTTTCACTCCTGCCGTCGTAAATTCGAGGTCCTCCGAGAACTCTCTAACTCAAGACAGGACCTTTACCTTTCCTTGCCCTCTCGTAGGCATGTACTATGTCGGGAGCGTTTTAGAGAAGCTCGGTTCGTTTGAACCATCTGTCGTCGTTCTTAATAGGCAAACCTAACTTTATACTGTTTCTGGGGATGACCCCGACCTCCAGTTCTAAAGACTTCTTCCACTATGCGATCTATGTCGTATGCGCCATCCATGTCTGGCGGAAT